CCAAGAGAGAGACCCCACCACTAACTAATGCTTCAGCAGTGAAAGGATAGAGCAACACAGGCACACTACCCCCAGGTTTAAAAGCTGGCACTGGTATCGGTCACTTGCTTTCTAGATTAATCTTAGTAAGTAATCACAGAATTTAAGATGACTCCACTGCTGTTATAAAGGGTTTTTTTTCCCAAATAATATCTTCCATACCAAAACAGTATTTGTTGTTGTACTACTCTTACCAACAGAGTGCTTTGTTTAATATGATTTTGTTAATAGACATATTTCTTTGAAAGCTATCCTAGATAATAAGTTCTTAATTTCTGTGTATCAAACAGAGTAGAGGAGGTTGGTGGGCTGACTGATACTAAAAAGGAAGAGGGTGGGGTGTGGTCTGCCTGCAGTAGCTGGAGAAATCCAGTTCAGGGAATGACCCGTGGAACGTACAGCTATCACTACACAGCCAACCTCCTCAGCACAATGCTCCAAATTCCACTAATGATTTGTCATCTTCATCCCCTGCACGAAACCCGGCTTCCTTCTTCCTCTGTGCCTTGATCACTGCTCCCGTCGCCCTGACCTTTGGAATTTATATATGTGTGCGCAGGTCCTCTGGGCTATAAGTTGGATTGCAGAGGCTTAGTTGTCATTACAGTTGATGAAGCTTCCTTTAGGATTCAAGACACGGCTGGTTTGATTTTTCTGAGATTAATGAGTTCTTCCGGGTTTGAATGGGGGGGGAAGAAGCGGAAGAAAGCAAGACAGGATTTGTACCATTATGTTTTGCGCTGCCGTAGACCTGATCACTACAAGTCAATTATTTTCAAGAAATAAATCTGATTTTGTTTGGTACAGATAATGATCCTAAATATTCATTATGACAGGGTCATACATAATGCTAACACTGTGAACATTTGATTAAATGTAACCGATAAGATAACTGCTTCCTCCTGGCTTGTTTGATTGAATTAACTAGTAGCCATTGTGAGATAATAAACTGTGTCAGACGGCCTATATTGTGGGATAGTGTATGGAAACACTTTCCTGAGTGCTTCAACAGAAATTCTTCAAATATCCGTTTTAAATTCGGTGCAGTTTTCTTTTCTATAAGAAAACTATAAACTGTAGATAAAAGATGGACCTAGCCACTGTCACATCACTCATTAGTTTTGAACTTTCGTTTTTGTTTTTTATTTCTTTCAAAACAGTATAGCCCCTTTTCCATTAATACTTACTCTGACTCGGATCGACTGGTTCACAACCCAGTGTGCGTGCTTGTCATCATAGCAACACGTCTGGGCATCCAGCGATGTAATTAATTTGCAACATGAACGCTACAACAAAGGTGGACATGTGGCTTTTTGTGAGACGCGGGGAACACAGCCATTTTGTTTTGTTTCTTTTGGGGGGGGGTGGCTTCAATTTTTGTGAACGAGACACTCTCATGACTCATTCAGTGATGCTACTGCGGTGTGGCGACGTCACATTTTAGTACCTGCACGGATCGCTTGGCATCCCGGTCGAGCAGGTACTAAAAAAGTACCTGGTACCAGGTACTATGACCTTATGGGAAAATACTGAAAACCGTGCCGAGTCGATCCGAGTAGGTACTACTGAAAAAGAGGATTATGTGACTGTCAACTGGAAGAAAGGGTACCACAGAGGAGTGATCAACTAATATATGTTCCTGCTACCTAGCTTGGTTAGTAACCTGTGTAATTTTGAGCACCAGAGAAACTTAAGAGCAGACTGTCGCTGTGCCTTTAAAGCCAAATCTATTTGTTTATGTGCTGTGCAGTTGATCTGTGGGTATGGACTTTTGGAACTAGTCCCACATGGTGACTGAAGTAACTCCAGTTTTTAGAACTTGTTTACTTGCATTTCCTGAACAGGAAAGCCTTGAGAAAAACACTGTTGAAAATGTAGCTTTTCTGTTTTGTTTGATGTAATGAGTCAGTGAGGGTGGTCTTTGCTCAGATCTGATAGATTTGTTCCTCCAGTCTCAGCACAGTACAGTGTGTATCATTTACTCGATGATTTATCTGCTTAGTCTGTCAATTGTAGCATTTACAGACACACGGAGATGCATTTTCAACACTTTTCTGCTTTGTCATTCACATTTTTATGCACAAATTGTAAATATGCCAAAAAAGAAAGGACAGTGGAAAAATAGTTATTGGCAGAGATAACAAACGGCAACTTGGATGCTGGTAGGACCTGTTCGTATACTTTGCCTGGGGACAACTGTTTATGGCTCACTGATTTTACACTGGGCTTTAAACATAAAGAGGGTGTGCTGTAACACGCAGCTATAGTGTTTCTTGATTGAAACGTGTTCTAGAAATCTCTATAGTCTGATCTCCTGTTAATACTTTGCAGGTCTTGAGAGGCGAGCTCCATTTGGATGCCCAGTCATCGATTTTGTCCAAGACTTCACCATGAACCGAAACAAGCGTGAAAGGGAGTACTACAGTATAGATGTGGGCGATTCAACTTTTACAGTTTTAAAGCGCTACCAGAACCTAAGACCCATTGGATCCGGCGCACAGGGAATTGTTTGGTGAGTATATTTACTTTCTGCTGACCTAGATGGCAACCTTCACTTGCAGATTGGTCACTTCTTTACTCAGCGAAAAGTTAGATTTAACTTCACCACCAAAACCTGTCTAACATTTGATGAAAGCTTGAAAAGCACACCTTGGACTTTGCCGGCTGCCGTTGACGAAAGTTGATAAGAACAGATGTAAAAAGAGCAGCATAAGTTGCATACAACACAGAAAATTGATGCATAATATTCTATTTGTTGACAGCACCGTGTGGTGTTATCTTTCCTGTGAAGTTTTGTTGATGTGAGAGGGTTAGGTGTTGGAGTGAACTGATCCACACCACAATTGGTTTCTTAAATTTTCTAGGGGTTTTTTTTTTTTTTTGGTATTCCTTCATATTTGCAATGAGCCGTGAAATTTTTTTTATTTTTTTTTGCTTATGCATCAAGTGGTTGATTGATTGGCCCATCAAAATCACATGAGCTGTCAGAATGAATCCATTTCAACTTGTAACATAAGATGAGCTTGACGAACTCATCTAGCGTCTTTGCTGTCATTAACCTTCTCTCTTCCTCATACCAGGTAGGAATACCAGAAAACTGATGCACAACACAGTTAAGAGTGTCAGCTAAGACTTTAGCTTGTCATGTAAGAACTTGCTGGCTACAAAATCTCAACAACTGCAGTGCTTAGTGCTGGAAAAGGATTAATAGTGGGCCTGTTAAACGTTTCTTTATTTTCTGTCCCATCTGTAATGTTATGACGCCGTGAGGTCGCACACACGTGATCAAAGTTTTGTTTAAAGTAATAAAGTCAGGTATGTACAAGTAATCCCTAAGAACCAAAAGCTCAGTCTTGACACTGCTCTAAATGCTCAGTTTCTTGTCTGTTATGTCAGGGAGAGGGGATATTCCTAATATCATCAATTCAGGCATACAGACCCACTCACATGAGGGGTGGACTACAAAGCAATTACAACACAGAGCCCTTTTTAACGTGCACGTTCTGCTTCAGGCATTCTGCACACTCACATTTCTGCACCATCTGACTCTAGTCCTCACAAAATGACACAGTTGAGTTCCACCTACAAGAGAATCCGCTCATATGAAGATTATAAAAATATTACTGCATAAAACAATTGTAAATGTGTTTGTTTGTACACTTGTTTGACTATTCATTTTATTTCTATGACAGCTGCACAGTGGAGCTCTTTAACGTGACATTTAAGAGCATTTGCTGACATTTTAGCGGCATAAAACAGAGCAGCACAGCAGGACTAAACATGTTCGCGCATTTTCTACAGTTATAACTAAAGTTCCTCTGACAGTGTAAAGCATACTTGGCATTACTAATGTACATCTCTGCATATGAAACATCACTTATGGCCGGCATTGACAAGAAAAGAATTTGGGTCTACGTGGTGCTTTATCCAGCCAATTATAACCTAAGCTCATTGGCAGCGATGTTGTTTTTGTTTTGTTTTTAACAGATAGAGTAACCAACCTAAGTTTAAAGTAGGAGGAGACATTATGGGCTGTCCGAATGTATTGCTCAATAGACAAAGTTTGCTGACTCATTCTGCATAGAAATTTCCAATCCTCAGTTTATCAGTTATTACCAACTAAATTTGTTTCTTTTATTTAAAAGGAAACCGTACGGGTGTAAAGATTTAATATTTTGGTTGCAGAAATGAAGAAAAACCAAGCTTAGTTGTTTAAATAGTGTAAAAAATAGGTCTCCCTCTCTCTTTCTGAGGCCTCGGGGAGCGTGTTATGTTCTATTAGATGGATTTCTAAAATTCTCTCAAACCACATATGGTATATTTGGTCAGGTTTAAAACCGAGACTTCAGGTCGAGTGGTTCTGTTACTGGCTGTGAAGCTGTAGCTTTCTGTAGCCTTTAAACATACACAACATCAAAACCTTGATGATTTATATCAAAATGTAGTTCGTGTATGGCTTTCATGACCGGGGAAATCATTTTTTGGTAATGGGATGTAAACATGTTTGTTTCTGTTGTAAAGCTGGTCATTTAACCCAGGGGTCATTGGGCTTTATGGCAGTTTGCAGAACTACAGATTTTTGGACTTAAGTGCAACACAAGGGATAACTTTTTAGAGACTGCCACATTCAGTATAGCTCCCCCTTAGGTGTATATTATGGGCAAAATATTAGCAACAGACTTGGCTCACTTTAGTTCAGTGGCTCTATTTCTCTCTTCCTCTGCTCTTCCTTTCCTGTCAGTCTCTACTGTCCCTAATAAATAAAGCTGAAAAAGGCAAAATCTTCATATTCCTTTGGCCGTCAGGGAAAAACAACAAAAACAAAGAACAATTTTTGACATCCATTATTGCTGACTGAATTTCTCCTGTGCTCCTTCACCCCAGTTCGGCGTACGACCACAACTTGGAGAGGAACGTTGCCATCAAGAAGTTGAGCCGACCCTTTCAGAATCAAACTCATGCAAAACGGGCCTACAGGGAACTGGTGCTAATGAAATGTGTCAACCACAAGAATGTAAGAGCCAGAATTTAATGGCATTTTTGTTTCTTTTGCATGGTTTGAATGTTTTGGTCTAATTCTTTAGACGTTAGAGGATAGCCTTACCTTTTGACTGTATAGTGTAGGTGCATTTCATGTAGATAAACCTGAGCATTGAATAGAAGTATAATTTAAGCAGGAGCAGAGAATGTACAGTAGAAATTAAAGGGGACAATTAGCTTTGAAAAGTGTTAGCAGGATGCATTTAAATGCTATTCTCATTCCTGTCCATTAAAATGATTTAAGTATTGATCTTTAGAGTCACTATATTCAGAGTTGTGTAAAGTATGAGTCAGCAGGGAAGCAAAAAGAACTGCACAATATGTTGGTTTTAAAGCAGAACCTGCTGAGCGCCACACATGGATAAAAAATAGTGTTTTGAATGACCACAAACTTCTCGGTGCTGCTGCCTCGGAGGTGTGAATGAGGAAACTATCCTGCTGTTATTCATAATTAATGCTGACGCTTCCTCGTTTAACTTTTCAAATTAAGAGTTGGCCTTCGTGTCCAGGGACGTGGATGTGAAGATGTTGTCAAATATACAAAACAACTCCAGCAATTACACTTTTTTTTTGTTGTTGTTGTTGCAGATTATCGGGCTGTTAAATGTATTCACACCACAGAAGACACTGGAGGAATTCCAAGATGTGTGAGTATCAGCGAGTCAAATCGCAGCTGCTCAAATCAATACAGGATACAGAACGCCGGGGGCTTAGATGATCTTTTTGGGGGCTTAGCTGGATCTCTTGTTGTGCCTCACGTTAAATACTTCAGGGAAATGATGCTTTATAGTCAGTGGGATGTCAGGTATGCACATTTCATGGTGAATATTAGAAAAGCACAGACTGAATCAGCTGGTGACAGGAATGAACCAGTTTTCAGGCTGATTGGCCACAATCTGTCACCAGCCTGACACTCACCTGTCAAGAGCTGTAGCTATACTATATACTGTATATGTGCCATGTATGCATGCACTTTAGTTGCCCTGGATGTGTTTCGAAGTCGACAAGATGTCCGTGTAAGTAGCTGTAAAATCAGAGGGGAATGCTGGGATGTGGGGGAAGTGATGGTTACCAAGAGTATGATGGGAACGAACATGATTAATGCCATCCTTTTGAAGCCCAGAGTGTGTGTGTGTGTGTTTGTGTCTACTCTGCTGTGTTTGCCTGATTGGAGCTAAAAAGGAAACTGGACAAATCGTAGCCAGAGGGTAGCGGGGCCATCGCAGAGTTGGAGGATGAACACTGCATTTGCTTTGGTGTTTGTTTACTTGAATGTATACCGGTACATACATATGTGTACCCATACTATTGGTAATGCATTGTAGCCAGTTTCAGTATTTTATAAGCTGTGTGCAAGCACAAGTTCTGCTTTGTAAATGATCGTTCTCACACAAAGATGTTGCTTTGTTTTTTGTTGTTGTTGTAACAAAAAAATAAATAAATCTGTCAGCGGTTTCTTACTCCATGTAGTGACTGATGATGTAACAGCTGACAACTGTGATAACATCATCACTGTTTGGAGGAGATACCGTACTGTCACTTCCAAAATGCCAGGCAAATTAAAGCTGATTGGGTGAGAGAATCTCACACTTTAATGTAGCTTCATATTCTATTGGCATGTAGGAAACGTAATACAGAGTCAGGCACGTGCACATGCTGCATCTATACATTGTAATACACCCACTGAAACAAACATAAAAAGCCCCTGTGTTTGTTTGTCTCTGCCTGTGTGCTTATTTGAACCTCTTTCCTTGCAGGTATCTAGTAATGGAACTGATGGATGCCAACCTCTGTCAGGTGATTCAGATGGAGCTGGACCACGAGAGGCTGTCGTACCTGCTCTACCAGATGTTATGTGGAATCAAACATCTGCATGCCGCAGGGATCATACACAGGGTAAGCCATACCAAGGGGGCCATATATGCAGCTTTACAGATGTGACTGGGAGCAGTTGCAAGCTGAAGCTTACACTGAGTTAAGTCCGTGTTTTTATGAATTTAAAGTTTCACATCAAAGGAAAAATATGAGACTACTGAAAGATATCGAAGTTTAGTAGTGAAAACACAGTAGGGTGGTTGGAGGAAGGCAGTGACGGTGGTACGTTTTTGCTGACCAGTTGTGCAAACCAATGCTTACTCCATGTAGTGACATGGAGTAAGCATTGGTTTGTGATGTAATTTAAAAATGTGATGTAATTTAAGTAAAATGTGATGTAATTTAACTTCCTGTCATGATATACACTATAGATGGCATGCTTGTGGGCTAAGCTTTATGGGTTCTTGCAGCTTCTTTAGTGTGCAGACATAAAAGTGGAACCTTCCAGCCCGTCCACAGGATAAGTTTGCCTGCTAAAATGTCAAGGCGCTCTTTTAAAGCTGCAGTTGACTGGATTTCATTGCATTTACATTTACTGACGTTTCTAACATGAAAGCACCAGATAACACAATCACACATTTACAGGTTGCAGTGGAGACACACACTGCACACTTGTCGTTACCTTGAAACATCACACACAGAATGACAGTACACATCCTGAGGCATCAACAGCTGTATGAATAGGTTTTTCATATGGACACACTTACACAGAGTGACTGGCAGCCTCCTGTCAATCACCCTCAGAGAGATGTGCTCCAGTAGATTAGCAGAGCTCCTCTTGCTCTGCCAGCCAGAACTAATTGAACCGCAGGCGGAGCTAACCAGCCTCGCTCACACTGGCACAGCTTGGCACGCGAAGCTTTCATCAGGTGAACAGATGCAACGTAAGTCACAGATCGCGAGAGATCGTGCTCTCGTTTTTTGGGGGCATTGTCTCAGTGATCAGAGCTCTCCGGTCTGTTTCAGCTGCTCAGAAGCTACCTATGGAGGTGGCAGTATGACTGACTGTGGTTTAGCCCTCCAGTCTGATGTTCTTATGATTAACAAGTGATGATAATTATTATCAGGAGGATTTTCAGCTGTAGCGCATTAAAGATTTCCTGAAATTAGCGTTTGGCAGTGAGTACCCTTCAGGTGTAGTCTGTTTATTTTCTTCTCAAAACCAGACGAGGCTCATTAAGATGTTATCAGATTAGCCTGCATGCAAATAAGATTGAAAGGGGGAAATTATTGCAATAAATCACCTGGCATATGGCCGGGTTATAGCCATAGGCAATGAGTTTTTATCGCAGGATTGCTTATAGTTCCTCTTGATTCTGTCGGGTTAGCTTCAGAAGAGAGGAGACACCCTTGAGCAGATGGGCTGTTTTTTAAGTTCTTGTAAGGAAGCATTGCCAAAAAAAAGCACACAGGGAAATGAACACACTGAACTCAAGAGAACAGATAAACAAGGATGAAATGGTGTAACCAAACAAAACAAAGACTTTGTGGTTACAGTGATTCATCATCCTTTTGGTGGATATCAGCTTTTCATTTAGTAGAGGAGAGAATGATCGCCTCTTCTGAGGGAAAACAAACCCTGATATTTGAGCCCCATTACACCAGCGACTGTGTTTCCCATATATAGACATTTCTAGGAATATTTGTCCCCGCACCAAAAAAGGTCTCCTTGCAAAGCGAGTTTGATTTTCAGTCAAGTCTTTTAGTTGTCTTTTGTGAAATGTTTAATCTATGTCAGGTTGTAACTTTTGCGGTGGTGTTGTGTTTGAACAGGACCTGAAACCCAGCAACATCGTGGTAAAGTCCGACTGCACACTGAAGATTCTGGACTTTGGTTTGGCCCGGACGGCCGCCACTGGTCTCCTCATGACGCCCTACGTGGTGACGCGTTACTACCGCGCCCCTGAAGTCATCCTGGGAATGGGCTACCAGGCCAACGGTAAGTGCAGGAAGTGGATGAAGCGGCTTCTTGACAGCGACCGGCTAATGAGGAGCTGCTGCCTGGCCTGCTGCATGGCCCTCACCCCCTGAGATGTTTCAGGATCACTTCCCACACACAGGCACACACTCCCTTTTCCTGTAAAGGTTACGCTCAGGGGGGGGAGTTGGCATGTGTGGCATCGGTGCTTTGTGGGGAACTTCCTGTCTGAGGACTGTGGTGCCCAGCAGTGTTTTAGCATGTGTTTGATGTTTTATTAACAGGTTGCCTGAGCTCAGCTCAGCTAAGCCAAAAAGTAAACCTCAGTATGAATACAGGCACTAATGCATGCTTCAGCAGTTTCACCGTGCACCCCTGCTTGAAACACATCACAGTTTGAGCAAGGCAGTCTGAAGCGCAGAAGTTGACGTATGGTAAAATATGTCATATTGATCCATTAGATGCCAGAGCACCAATATCATATAGTTGAGCAGAAAGATTAGTAGAGGACTGTGCTGTGAATTAGTGCAGCCCAAAGCTAGCAGAGATGAAACAAAGCATAAGAGATGTACTGCGATATGTGATTAAAACCTATCACCACTAAAACCTCAGTTCTGTATATAGATAAAAATCTATAACAGTGCAGTAAAAGCTTGGGAGACGCATTGGGTGCAGCTGTGGTGCCGGTGGTTTGTGTTAGATGAGCATTTCCTTTTAAGAAGATGGCCTTGTTGTGGGAAGTCTGAGATTCTCTGCTGTGATTGTGTGAGACATTGACATTATCAGCACTGAGCTGCAGACACTGTAAGGTGAATGCCAGCACAGCTCATTGGGTTACCGTAATACTGGACATAAAATGTCTAGAGAAGCCCACGAGTGGAACAGTTTTGTTATAATGTTCTGTCCCAGTAAGGAAATAAAGACTGAATTCATTGGCTAATAACATGCTGAGAGTCAGGTGGAAGCAAAAACACTAAATGTAATTGGAGAGCTGCACTGTTTGTTTGTTACTTTTAAAATTCTGTTGATTTAAAGTGTACATATTGCCCTAGAGCACAGGTGCAGGTAGTACAAGTCCCCTCTCAAAAAACAATTAGAGGGTCTCATAAAAACGAATGCTCATCAGAAACACTGACCTGATTCTTTTTTTTCCTGCTGACTTGTTGCATCTTTCTTTCTTATTTTATTTCATTGTTTTGGGTTATTCTCTTCTCCCTCCTTTGATGCTGCGCATATGTAGTGGATATTTGGGCTGTGGGCTGCATTATGGCAGAAATGGTTCGCCACAAAATCCTTTTTCCAGGAAGGGATTGTATCCTTGAGCTGCTTGTAGCAGTGTTTGGCATTTCATGTGAAATGAAGATGGCCTCAAAACAGTCACCTTTTCAGATCTTCTTTTGTTTCCTGATTTTTATTTTTTGTTATTTTTCTTTCTCATCAAATACATCGCAGCTATAGAAATTCTGTTTCTTGGATTTGCCTGACACCTTGACTTGCAGCCGCCCACCTGCTCTTCCTGCAGATCCACTGGCTCGACTCCCTCCTCACTCACTCGAGCAGCAACACTGTTGCTTCGAGCACCATGACTGTCACATGAAAGACCTGAAATAGAATTGATAGTTTGCTCTGCCATAGCTGAGAAGTGAACTGCATAAAATGCCCTCCAGTATCCTCGAACTGCTTAGCGTATGGCTTTTGTTGTAATGTGAAAGAAAAACTCTTAATCTAAAATTTAACACAAAAAAATGATTTCTTGGCATCATTAGATAACACTTTCCAGCTTAAGTTGCAGTGAGGATACAGAGAACATTAAATTGCATTTTTGCAAAAAAAACAAAGTTCTCATAAATGTTAAAAGTCATGGTCTGAAGGAGAAGTAAACATACATTTTTGCAGCTATGATGGAGACAAACACCTGTTAAACACTGATCCAGGTGTGAGAGTGCTCTCAGATGCATGCAGGTCATTTTGCGTCATGTGTCACCTTGCACGAACATCATCGTGTTTATGGATTATAATTTCCCCTCTCCTCTTGTTCTTATTTTCATTTTTGTTTTCCATTTGGTTTTCAGTCCTGCATGCTAATTCGGTGGTTGTCATTTCATTTTTCAGTTGATGTCTGGTCTGTTGGCTGTATCATGGCTGAAATGGTCCGGGGTAGTGTGTTGTTTCCAGGCACTGATCGTATCCTTAAGTTGAACCTCCATCCAAACCCCCGTCCTCCTCAAACGACTGTTGTCCCATCCTCTGTCTGACATCTTGTTCATATCTTTGCACACAAAAGGGGGGGAAAAAAACCTGCCAAACCTGCTGTTTAATGAGCGATGACGACATTGCGCTCAGGGTCGACATTCATCACTCGCAGTGGCAGAGCTGGAAGAATTGTAGCCATCTTTCATGGCAAATGCTGGCTTCTTACAGCAGGCAAAGTACAAGTTTAATTATGTGGTGACAAGAATAATGGCTCCAATCTATTTAGGTGACCCAGTAAGTCTTATTACACCAAGGTTAGCACTTCTATTATGCTGTATCAGACCCTGTTCAATATAAATGGTTCTAACAAGAAAGTAAACATGCACTACAACCCTATTTGATCCCACTAGAGAAACTGAAGCAGTGGAGGGAAAGAATACAGGCATTTTATGCCCTGATTCAAAAAGGTTCCTATATAACAACATATTGTTAAAGAGCTCCTTTGTTTAGTAGTTATGGGTTTTTATTAATGGGCTGATCATGATGTCACCGACTAGTTCCTAGTCTTAAACTTCAATACGACATTAGAATTTCATCATCTAGGTGTATTATGTATCAGACTGTAAAACTGCACATTCACTGACTATCAGTCCGCAGTTGCTAGAATATCCTAAACAATCCTGCTTTCTGACACTTAAAGTAAGAAAAATTCACATAATGGACTTAAAGTTTTATTCAGAATAAGTGACTGAGCCCATAAGATCAGGAAAGTATTTACCGAGGTAAATACAAACTTTTACTACAAACGTTCAAACAAGGCTTTTTGCAAACACCAGTATCGCCCCCTGTTGGACACTAGAGAGAATGCTGGTTTTAGGCCCTCCCCAATTGGTTTTAGTTTAAGATCCAAAAGCCAGCTCCACCTTTTATGTGGAAAAAAAGGCCACTCTGTAGCTTTGTGTCAATGCCATCCTCTTTAAATTAAGTCAAGGATGATATTGTCAATTGATTTGTTTTTATCGGATCTTTTTAGCAGTGTAGGGTGTTTGGTTGAAAACATGGCTTAAAGGCTAGCTTCCTCATTAGCTTACTACTAGGATGCTAGCAGTCGGTAGGTTTGATTTGTCTTTATGCAAATTATTTACATTCACAAAAGCTGCTAAACAACAGACTAAAGGATAAAGAAAAAAAATCAATCATAGCAAATGTACTTTGGCATTAGGAACTTAACAACCAGAGCTTTTTGTTTTCTCAAGGCTAGGTTTCTCCTTCTGTTTGTTCATTCATGTTTGAGGATGAACAAAGATGTGAACAAGCAGTCTGAATGTGTTATCTGTCCTTACATGTGTGTGACTTGTATTTCCAACATCTGGATGTCTTACAGGTGAACCTCACATTGCTTCACTTGACGTCTAGCTATGCAGAGTGCAGATGTTTGAAATATATGTGTGCGTATTGTTTTTTTTCAGATTGTGTGTATCCCACTCAGCCCATCCTAGCAGGTTTCTACAGGAATAATGTGCAAACGAAAATCCTTTAGTTTCAAAGCTGTGTTGTAGCTATTTGTGGTTGTAGTCATTTGCTTTCGTTCTTTTTTTGTTTTGTTTTGTTTTGTTTTGTTTTGTTGTGTTTGAGCTTTCTTTATCAGCTCAGTATTTGGGGAACATGTCCAAACCAGATCAAACATTCCTCAAACTTCTCTCAAACTGGAGCATCTTGTTTTCCAATCCAGCCGTACGCTTTTCTTAACACTATAACCAAAAGATATTGACCAGTGGAACAAGGTGATCGAGCAGCTGGGGACGCCATCTCAGGAGTTCCTGATGAAGCTCAACCAGTCCGTGAGGACCTATGTGGAGAACCGGCCACGGTATGCTGGCTACAGCTTCGAGAAGCTCTTCCCTGATGTCCTGTTTCCTGCAGACTCTGAGCACAATAAACTGAAAGGTAGGGGTGTCTTGTAAATTCTTACTCAAGCATAAGAAGGTAATGGGTGTTGAAACAGTTTTGGTGGATGGTTGTTAGTAGGAGCAATGAGGCGGTCATTAGTTATGCCACAGTGTGTTTCCGTTTTACTGCTTGAAATCACTGTTGTAAAGCTGTGTTGTTCTTTTTTTTAATGTAGGATTTATCATCTGTGACCTTTTAGAGGTTTTTTTTGGGGGGGGGTTGTTTTTGCATTTGGAAGTGTAACAAATGAGTCCGTGGGTAGTCAGTGGGTACACATTCAAGGACGTATAGATATGAACTTCTCCTCCACATGTGCTTTGGGTTTGCAACCTAACAAATATCTGCTGACAGCAAAGCCAAAGCAAGATCACTGCTCGGCGGCAGTCTTTGCTTAACCACTTATTCTAGAAGCCGGCAGCACCAAAGTTGTTTCTTCTGTGAAGAGGAATTCACCTCAAGCGTGTCTTTCTCTGTAAATGCAGAGGTGGTGACAGGAACACTCACAGTGAGTGCCACAGAGCTGTTGTAAGATGTCGCAAAAAAAATAAGTCGTTCTTTTTCAGTCCTTGTTACTTCACAGAGGTAGGAACATGTGATGACAGTGTGTTCCCCCCTCAAGTTCTCTGCTTTAACAACATCAATTAGCTGTGATGACTCACTCTGTCAGGTTTCATACAGAATGTGAAACAATGTGTGATAATCAGGGCGGATGTCCTTGACAGGCTCAAATGGAGACAAAAGTGGATACATGTTCTCTGTTGAAAAGGCAAAAACCTCGGTGAGTTTCCCATCTTGGATAGCATCGGGGAGCAGTGTTTTGAAAGCTGGCTTTATTTGTTCTAAAGGCTTTGTGCAGTTTTTTTTCTAGTTTAAGGTCTGTGTGAGTCAGTGTTAAAACCCTGAAATACACATCACAGGTACAAACCTCTGAGTGAGCAAATAAGCTCTAACCATGTACCGTTCAGACTTTTTGCTTGGGAGGGGTAGCCAGTCACAAGAAAGTTTAATTCTCTCAGTCATACAGGATTGGTTCATGACTTCCTATTAACCTCCGTTAGTTTAGGGTAGAATATGCATTCCCTGGGTAAAAATGGTCACAAAGACTACGCTGCACCAAAAACCACCTTGTGATTGCTTTGATTGCTAGTAGATTGGCACAGTCGCCCATGGTTTGATGCCCAAACTTGCTAGCCAATCAACAAGCAGTAGTGAAACTTGAAAAAGTGTGGTGCAGAGAATTTTAGAGAATTTAAAGTTGTCTTACTGCTGAAATCAACCAATGACACAGCTTTTACTCTGAAGCTGAACGTGCTCTGTTTCTGGTTGGCATCTCACTCTTCAGTTTCACTGCTGCTTAGCAACTAGTTGGTGAATGTTTGCAAACAAGTTGGCAACAACGAGCAAACTCCTGTAATCCTTCACGATTAGTAGATTACAAGTGACCTCTGTGTGACTAGTCTCTATGTGAGTGAGGCCTTAACTTAAAAAGGAATGGTCAGTGTGATTCAGATAGAGGCAAACTTAGGGTCACAGAATAAGACAAATGGGGATTAATCTCAACTGTGAACCCCCAACCAATTTTGGCAGATGGCCTCCCTTTACCTGAGCCTGGTTCTGCTGGAGGTTTCTTCCTTTTTAAAGAGTTTTTCTTTCCCACTGTCACCACCTGCTCGCTCATAGGGGGTTGTCTGATTGTTGGGGTTTTCTCACTACTATTGAAGGGACCTCACAATATAAAGAATATTGAAGGGACTGTTGTGATTTGACGCTGTATTAGGAAAGAAAATGGGTCTGAAAATATACATTTGGAGCGGAATATAAGCAGAATTTTTCCTGTATGGAAAAACAGGACTTTATAAGTGGTACCACGAAAATTATGTTATGAATTTTTTCCCTTCCTCATGGATACTCATTCGTTTACATTTCAAAGCGGTTGCTGCCTACATTGTTTCCTGCACCAACATCCCATCTCAACAGGAAATGCATCTCATCAACCAAGCCGCACACTCCTGCATATTTTTTATGTTCAATTATTTCCTTTCAGCGAGCCAAGCCCGTGACCTCCTATCAAAGATGCTGGTAATAGATGCATCAAAGCGGATCTCAGTGGATGAGGCTCTCCAGCACCCCTATATCAATGTGTGGTACGACCCAACTGAGGTGGAGGCAGTAAGTACTTGAGTTTCGTGTATTTTCATTGCATTCCTGTTTGAGTGATAATCACATGGAAGTGGTTATCACTGCTAATAGCATCTATGTTCATTGATTATGGCAATCACACCTGAGCTCTACCCATTTCAGACCTCTTAAAAAATCCTTAATGTGCAACATCAAAGCCGCTCTAAGTGTAATATAATTTGCTTTAGGCTGGAATATATCCCTCATATTGAATAGCTGATGGGAAAATTCGATTTAAGGGTCTTTTGAAGTTTAGCAGGAATGCCGCAATGTAGCTTTCCTCTGTAGAACATTGAAAATTTTCCTGTAAAACAAGTGAAAAGGTAAAGTTTAACATCTTTCAAATGCCATTTTAAGCTCTCTTTTCTGTCTCTAAACTACAAACTGTAAAGCTGTGTCTTTGTGCTTCAGTCTCTAAAATTGAGATGGTGACAAATGTGAAGCCTCTCCTTGGAAACGCTGTGACTCAGCCAGTGCAGATTGATTTTTGACTGCGTTTTGGCAGATTGGGAAATGAGGCGAATTGTTGCTTTTTCCTCCTCTCCCCTGCCTCCTGTGGATTCCTCAGAGCTGACGGTGCATCCTTGAAAAGTGCAGATTTATACACAACTGCACTAACTCATGAGCTTGTTTGTTTGCTTGTGGCTGATGGGTCAGATGGGTTTGAGTCTCAGTGATGAGGTCAGAGGTCAGGTTTTATGAAAACCTTGTGAACACTTGAAGAAGGTGATGTAGTAATACCATAGGTGTGTCTAAAAAGGAGGCTGAGGGATACCGCTTGTAGTTGCCAGTATTTTTCAACTCGGGATTCACTGAGTCTGAGACATCCTCATACACCTGCTGTATGTGAATGACTTCTGTAAATTTGACCTCTGGTTTGGTAACACTCATAAATCAGAGGCTACTAGCGTCGGCGTTTGTGTCTCTTAAAGAGGCAGCATCAGCATCTTCTCTTTGCTCTGTTAAATGTTAGAAAAGGGAGAGGTTTAAGCTATGGCCTGAGTCTATAATGTGTGCGGATGTGATATGAATGTGTGACCATTTGGTAAAAAGACACATTATTCTGTTTTTCTTTCCAGCCACCACCGGTGATCACAGACAAGCAGCTGGATGAGCGGGAGCACACAGTGGAGGAATGGAAAGGTAGGAAGGATCCTCTCCTCTCCTGTCATAAGTACTTAGCTGTTTACAGGGTGATGCATAAGGTTGGTCTAGCTTTGTGCTTCACAGCCTGTGGGACATTTAATCTTTGTTCTGGAAGGGAGTTGCATGTTTTCCTCTGCACAGTCTGTCAGAAACCATAAATGCCCCAGTGTCAGACACGTAGTCCTCATTTTCTGCTGAAAATAACTCTGTGTCCAAAGCAGCATATTTCCCCCGTTGGTCCCCTCGGCCAGAACATCAGAGCTTTACCGGCTTGGGAGAAAGATAGAGAAGAGGGAAAAGCTAATTTTCATTGGTGTATAAATGCAGATTTACATTTGGTTTTTGTTTAGTCTAAGTCTGCAAAATGAATGAAAGCTTTCAAAATTAGTGCAGTTCATTCTTCACGGTTACTTTACAATCCCCGTCATCTGTTTTTAGTCACAAGTACTAAGGTGTGCAAACCTGCATCACCTTCCTGCTGGGTCTTTATTAACATAACTGTTCCTTTAATGTGAAAATGGTAAATTTAAAGCCTGTTTGCTTCATTCACAAAAATACATATTCCTGGATGATGATGCTTGGAAGCCTTGTGGGTAGAAAATGAAGCGTATGCTGAGGTGCTAAATGCTAGAGTTGCTTTATACTGGTGAGAAAATACCCACAGGCTACCATGTTAAAATGCTCATCTTATGCATACAGGTTCAGTTCTCGCTAGCTAATTTGTCCTTAATGACAAACGTTTGATTTTAGTGGTGTTAAGCCTTAAGGATGAATGGGGTGGGCACAGTGTAAGTGCTGCATTAGTTAGCACGACTCTTACATTTAAATACAATCACATCTGTTTTTATGAAACAAAACAAACTGAAAAACAAGCAAAACAAGTTGAACCAGTTTTTCCTTAAACTAATATGCATGTTTTATGATTCAAATTAATTTTAAATGCCGTAAAAACTAAACTGAGTAGCTGTTTTTCTTGTGTCCAGTCACATGTTTAGATTGAGCAAAATGGTGACCTCATCACTTTAGGTTCAGGTTTTTGGAAATATTTGAGCTTTTTTTTTTTTTTTTAAATAGTAAAAGAGGCGTTTTCTCCATGCTAGTATTCCTTTGAATATCTTTAAGCTCCCCTGTCCTAGCAGAGCAGTGATAACAACAGGAGGTTCACACCTGAAAGTGTAAATGTGACACACAGATGGCTTGAAGACACACTGTCCCATTTCTGTCTCCTTAGAGTGAAATGTTCCCGTGTAAACTGGGCATTCATTTATTACCATTTTTTAGTCTGAAGCTTTTTGCCAAAAGAAGAAAAACATTTGTGCATGACCTCATCTTAAAACTGTCTTTCACCCTTTTTTTCTTCTTCAGTTTTTAAAGTGATCTGAATAAATGGCTTTCATTGTGTTTGTTACAGAGTTGATATATAAAGAAGTGCTAGACTGGGAAGAAAGGACGAAGAACGGCGTCATCAGGGGACAGCCGGCGTCCATAGGTTGGTGGACTTTGTTATGTGAGAGAAGGTTTTAAAATGAGTTTGTAATGGAAGAGGTGAATATGTTTGCACTGCACAAGACGTCTGCGCATGATCACGGCTGCTGCACTATATTGCAAGTGATTGTAATGTATCTGAGACTAAGATGCTTTCCTTCAGATAACATTTGCAGCGCTTTGATTTCATTTCCGTAATCGCTCTAATGGGAGCAGATGCGAACAGCGTTGGCCCTGACGTGACCCGTGCTCACATTTGTGTTAATTTATTTATTATTTCGGTGAATCTTCAAAGTCGTGTAGATAAACCGGATACATTCAGGCATTTATACGGCATGTGGTTCAGAATGAATCCACTCGTTGGTTTGTCAAATGTAAAAACCAGCCTTCACCATCCCGTCTTTATTAGATCAGCTGCTAAAGCACAATGCTGTTCCGTGACTGACCACAGGCCCATCCCTGCTTCTCATAGCACAGGTGCAGCAGTGAGCAGCAGCCCCCAGCAGCACCACCAGCACCATCCCTCCACTTCTTCCTCCACCTCCGCCAACGATGTCTCCTCAATGTCCACCGACCCGACCCTGACCGACACCGACAGCAGCCTGGAGACGGCGGGCCCTGCCGCCGCCGCTGCTACAGCCTCCGGCCCAATGGGCTGCTGCAGATGACTATCGCCTACACCTGGTTCTGGGCTGGGCCACACCACCTGGTCACATCCAAGACCACCAGCCCGACACCGGCCCCTAGACCCACCCGCTGTGTTTGCCTCCCCTCCGTGCTCGTCTTC